TGCAACACAGGTTGGTGTATGAGCAAAAGTAATGACAATAATTACTTTTTGCTTCTGTATTCTACTTTTTTGTGGTCTGTGTCTCTTCTCAGGATATGAACATGATTTCTTCTCCCAAACACTCACTAAAACTATTGGCAAAGAGGAGACCAGAATTAGCTCCACTCTTGACTGTGGTTAGTTGCCAGTATTAGGCTGTAAAATTTTAACTAGAGAGGCTTCACCAGCATCGGACAAAATTGTTTGTCTTATCAAATATTCTCTCAGCTCTCACAGATGACGAAGGGAGCCCAATGTGCAGATGTAGCAATAGAGTGTTGTGTTTCTGCATGCACACATGTGCGTACAGCAGCTGATGAGAGCTTTGGCTGAATAGAGATCATTTGGCTCAAACAATCCTTGCGGGACAATTTTTATATAAATTCTAAGATCATTTTGGGGCAATTCGTCACAAAAGCATTCCTTAGCATGAGGAATTTCATCTCCTTACACTTCTCTAAAGGACTGAGACCAGCTGTACGCATTTCCTCCAAATTTCTCTGAAGTTTTTAATCTTCAGGATCGTTTAAGAGTCTTCTCAAACTGAGACTCTGCCTTTCAGGGCCAGTTAATGAGGCTGATTTATAAACCCTTTTGACAAAGGGTGCAGTGCAGTGAAAAGACAAAGCCTTCAAAACATGCCATAGGTTCTCTCTGCCAGCAGGCACTGATGCTGCATACGGCTCAAGACAGCCAAGGCAAAATGTGCCTTAGGAAGCTTGAACTTAAGCATCAGAATAAGTTGAAATAATTACAGATTATTGTTAGTCCAGCTTTGGACTCCAGATTTTTCAGCTCCCCTGCTGTAAGATGGTGCAGAGTTGTGGCTCCAGCCTGGGGACTGAAGCCAGGGACAGGCTGTTGCCCTGATGCTGACGCAGAGTGTGGTTGCTCTGGTGTCGCTGGCTCTGGGGATCCTGCTCCATGCCCTCAGCATCACCTGAGCTAGAGAAGGGAATACACAGGCTCACTTGCACATCTTCCCTCTACTGGGCTGCTAAAATTATCAAGGGCTTTGCTGTAGACTCTTATCCTTCGCATAACAAGAATATGTCTCAGTTTGGGTGGGGGCATTCTGTTTTTGCAGTCCTCCGTCCTTAGAGAAGAAAGCTGAAGGTCAACCATTTACAAAGAACGAAGGGCCAAATTCTGCTGACACTTACACAGGGAGAAACCCACAGATCTCTGAAGCATGGGAATTGCTAGAACCCACAACACAGGTCGTTGTAGGAGTCAGTGGCTCTGTGCTGAGGTATCTCAGCAGAGTTGAGTGCCCTGTAAATGCCGTGCCTTGCTTGTACTAACCTTTGTTTGGTCTGTCTCTCTCATCTGGCAACTCCCCTCCTCCCCGACCCCTTTGCGCTCCGATACAGATGGCTATAAGGAATGACTCTTTGGATAGCAAGGAGAATCTCCACACCGAGGTGAGTGAACTCTCTGACCCAAATGTCCCCGCTGTGCCCAAGGAAGAGTCATCAGTGGCTCTGACACCCTCAGAAGCGCATGAGTTGGCTGCATGGAGCCGGGCAAGTGTTCATACACAGCAGCATTCCCACAATCAGTATAATATTTCAAAGCAGGCACCAGCATCGTGTGCTTGTGCAGACTCGTATCAGGAGACACCTGGAGATTCAATGGACCAAGAAGTATCTGAAATAAACAGCTCCTCGGAGCCTTTCACTTCGGAAACTTGTACAGCCTCGAGTGCCTGTTCGGAGGTTCAGCCTCTCACTCCTAAGAGGAACATAGGCAATACCGGCAACGTTACATTGAAGGACCTGAAGAAATACCACAGTGTAGACACCCAGGGTCTTCTAAAAAAACCGCCCTCTTGGTTAGATGATCAAAGGAGACATTCAATAGAGATTTGTTCAATGGAAAACAGCCCTCAGCACCATTCCACATCTAGCTCTTCTGGCTTCATAAGTCAGGTGGTAAGTGAAATGGAAGGCTTACAAGGAACACGGCAGAAGAAAAAGCTGAGCCCTCCATGTATATCTATAGATCCACCCGATGGACAGAGTCTGCTACCTAGAGGACCTCAGAGCATCTCACCTGCCAGTGGAGACGTTTGCTTGAGACGGCGTGCTCCATCTTGTGAGTCCAAGGATTCGATGGATATAGGGGATTCGTTGCTTCCAGACAGTGTGTCAACATCTCCTACCCCAAAGAAAGACTTGTTGACACTTCCTAGCTTTTCCTTTGATCAAACAGAAATGGACCCCTGAGTTACTTTTCTGTTGGTGCCAAATGTTTTCTTCCTTTCACGTAATAGAAAAAAAAATATTAAAAAACTCTGTATTCCAAAATGGCACTGGGTAAAAAATTTCCAAAGAAAGATTAAAGAACCAGCTGGTTAAAAGAGTGGTTAACCTATATCACGCTTACTTAAGCATATGTTCTGCTTAGGTAAAAGCAATACAATGTGCAGAATCTATATGTATATTATATTTTATTAAATTAATTGAATCTAGTATTGCGGGATGTAGTACATTTTGTGACTAAAGACTCGTTTAATTTTCTTCTATTTTATGTATCTCAGAATATTTCTGAGATAAAGTTGGTTTTTATGAATATTTTAACCTAAAAAATATATATTTAATCCCTTCTCTTTTTTTGTTTTGTTTGGGTTTCATTTTGTTTTGCAAAGCACAAAATGTAGCCGATTAGTGCATTACAGAGGAAATGTATCCCACAGTCAGCAGTAAATAAGGATTATTTAATGTAATTTATTTTTCCCCTTGGACTTCAATGATATTCTGGGAAGAAAGATTGTTTGGGTAGAATGGAAATGCAGTGACAGTTCTTTAACAAAATAATGTTCCAATCTTGCATAAAATCAACATCCGGAGTGAAAGCAAGTGCACAAACCCAGGAAGGTGCAACATGCTGATAGGTGTCTGAAGGTGGTGAATGTGGAGCCATTTAGCTGTACACAACGCTGATTTACGAAAGGATATTACAGATCATCCGCTGGTGACTCGCAAAATTGTGTCAATGGGTAATTTTCATATGTGCCTAGGAAACTGAGGCAACAAAAGCCTGTGGTCACTTCTGAGATGTTTTTCCAGTGTCTCCAAGACAGACTGTTTCTTTTGCTGAGTTTTACACCCCTGTGAGCCCACTGGTTGCAGTGGAGCTCCTCTTTCTACACCCGTGCGGAAAGGAGAGTAAGGCCACGTTCAAGACTTGCAGTGGGTGGATTCGGTGCAGACATGACGCAGCAGTGGGCTTAAGCACATGTTTAAAGTTAAGCTCTTGCTTAAACTGCCTTGAGGTTGATTAAATTTAAGTAATTCTTGAAAATTAAAATCGTATGCTTATGTGTTAGACAGAATTGAGGCCTACTGCAAGTTATTTTACAGATTACATGTGAGAAAGTCTGTAGGTACTGAAATGACTGTTGATTTTCAGTGAAAGTCAGGTTTTTTGCTATCACTGCTGGAGTTAATTTACATGACCCTGACTGTAATTTTATTTCCAATGTATCAAAAGCCTTAAGCAGTAACGTCATGATACAAAATAGATAAAACCAGAATTCATGTCCTTACTTTATAACATGTCCTAATGTCAGTCATCTCAGAAATTAACTGTTTACTTCTGCGCTGACACCCCCTGCAAAAAGCAATTTGTAAAACTGGACAGCACAGCCTGAAAAATCACAAGAGGCTGGCCCCGTTTGACATTTCCCACTCTTCACAAGGCTGATGGAAACCAGACATTAACTTCACTCAACCTCCATGAAATCGCATTAAGATGTAGGCTAAATAAGACTCTGCAGGCATGGTTTGAAGTGTGTGAACAGTCACAGGTTTAAAACTGCGTACGTGGATAAGGCTTTGCTGGATCGTGTCTTTAAACCAGCACAGGGAAGAGGAGGATTTGTGCTAATTCTGTCAGCCGGGAGTTTGTAACTTTCTGAGAACTACTGATCTTTTCAAATCACTACAACATGTTGATGTACAGCCTTTTATCCATTCAGAGATTAGACTGTTAGGACTACATGTATCTGTATTAGCTTCAAGTATACATACAAGAAGAAGATGCTGTTTATACTTAACAGCCCATGTGAGGTCTTAAGCTCCTTTATTTTCACTTGAGGACGTTTACTCCATAAACAATCCCTATTGATTTACATGTCCTGGAGAAATGTAAGG